GCAGGTCACTTGCAGCCTTCTCTGGGGCTTAGCCAAGTTCTTCGAGACCATCTGCCTTACCATGCTCAGAGATCGCTGCAAGCTCCTGGGCTTCCAGCGCAGATCGCCGCGGTCTGCCTGAATATGTACCGCATACCACGATGTTTGACCCTCGGAACGATGGTCCAAGGCCGTTAAGTCCTTGCAGGATGCTCGGCCGCCACCAGTTTTGTGCGTGCCCACATTTTTCCCTCTCTTGACCTCCTCTCTCCCAGGGTTCAGAAGGATTGGATGTTTACATTGGTGACTATGGTTATTCGGTTCAGGCTCGTCCGTGTTTCATTGTCACTCTGGTGGTTGGAGCCGCTACTGAGCTGCACTATGCCATCACAGAATGTATGGATTGTACTATTTCGCTCGACAAAGCTGCCCTTGTTTGCCCCTCTTCCCCTCGTGGGTTTCGCATCAAGAAGCTGTTGGGACCTCTGGCGGGCACGCCGAAGGACTCTGCCGCCAATCCAGGAGTGGACGAGACTGCTGGGATGGGAAGGAAAGCAGGAAGAAGGTGGAACAAGTATGCTCACAGGCGAAGAAAATTTAAACAGCGGCTTGTTAGGTTCCAGCGGTGTGAGGCCATGCTGGGGCGACACACGTGTCCAAGTTTTACTGCGGGTCCTCCCGCTGGTCTGAAGTACGATGCCGGTGCCCACGGAATTTCAGACTACGAACTCACCTCCTCTTGTCGTGCCCTTGCCTCCACCCTCAAACCCTCCTCTGGCCAGACATCCCTCACCTCGCCTCTCATCCCCTATGGTGACCCGACTTGGAGGGCTGCGGTCGCTCCCATTACTCGGTTCTCTGGATGAGTTTGGGGGATCTCAGGTGGGGTTGTCTGACCATGGTTTGTCCTTTGAGGTCCTGAGCCGAGCTGGGAAAACTGTTTTTTGTGACACCCCCCCCTTCCACGTGGCGTCAAGTGAGGGGTCCCATCCAAGCTATGAGACCTTCTCTTCATAGGATCGGCTGGCACATGCCTGCCTGACACACCTTAGTCAACGACTTTGGTGACCACATCCAGCTCACCTCGTGTTCACCTGCGCTCGTGGCTGACCTTCTGTTCGAGGGAGTGATCAGGACGCACCAGAGGGCGGTGGAAGACAAGTTGGGGATGCGGAGGATGTGCATCGATGTCGTGGCCTCAGAGATGCGACGCTCTGTCCAATCTCCGCTCGGTCGGGGATGTATCAGATTGCTCGCGTGTAACGGCACTAGGACTAAGGAGCGTGCTACCGAGCGAGGCGATCAGCTTCCTGACAATATTTGCCAACTTTGCCAAGCTGCTCCCGACAATTGAATGCACCGACTATGGCAGTGTCCGAGTGTCGACGAGCTCCGCCTGGAGGCTTGTGACGCGGACATCAGCTTCGAGTTTAGAGCCCCGTCGCGTGCTAGCAGCTGGTAGCGATATTGAAAAGTGTTGTTTTCCGATGGTATGTTCCCTCACCGAGGGGCGTGTTGCCGAGACCCTGCGAAAAGGGTCGTACCGACCATTTTTTTGTCAGGGGCCCCAGGTCCGAGCCCGTGTGCCATTGATGTTTATGGAGGTGGTTTCTGGGACGGTCCGTCCTTTAAGCATGTCTAGGGCGGGCTGGGGTTTTGTCTCAGTGAACCCGCAAGGGGAGGTTATCGCCTCTGTCTCGGGTGCTGTCGGAAGGCCGTCCCCCCAAACCTCTCAAGCGGGCGAGTACAGCGCCTACGCAGCTACTGCCCAATGCCTGAATGGGCCCACCACGGGCTATGCGGATTGCATAGGGGTCGTCAGGGCCCATATTTCTCCCAAAGCTGTGCGTTTTTCTCATGGGAAGAAGTATTCAGGCAGTGCGGTTTTCCCATCCAGTGCTCACTGGAACGAGGTGCGCAAGGTCAAAGCGCACGTGGCAGACTCTGCTGGCCTCTCTGCCACAGATCGGTTTTTAATGCTGGGCAGCGATGCAGCTGACAGAGCTGCGAAGTATGGAGTGTCATTACACCCGCAGGCCAATGCGGATTAGGTGGCGCAGGTAGACAGAGTCGTCTCAGCTGCTCGTGCCGTTTGCCGAGTAGCCGCAGCAGTGCTCCAGAGCTGGCCGAAGCTCGATCTCAGTGATGTCGCGCGAGCCATTCCCATTCTTCCTGCGTCCTCATCTGAGTCCTCCTTCGACCACCAATGGGAATGGCATCGCAGCGTGTGGCGTTCCGTCGCTCCTCGGAGCAACCACCTAGCAGTTGTTGCCGCGGCGAGCCTCCACCTGCTGTGCAAGAAATTTCGAAGTTGGGTCACCGCATGCTTGCCTTGCAGTGCAGCGACCAGTCTCCGCTCTTCGTCTATGGGAGATGTAAAGTATGCACCTGTCTCGGGAGAGTACTTAGATTGGGCCGCCAGTGCGATCCGAAATGCACTGGCCGTAACGACCTCGGTCGATGGCGGCTCATGACGCGTGGTCCCCACCCTAAGTTCAAAGGGATTAGTGTGGAGCCCATGCCCGATGGATGAGTAATCACTCTCCTCCCCCTTTTTCCCTCAGGTTACCTGTTGGGAAGCGTCAAGTGGAACACATCCTCCTCCTCATCCTTCTCCTCTTCCTCCTCCTCCTTCTCCTCTGCCTCTTCCTCCTCCTTCTCCTCCTCCTCCTCGTCCCACTCGTCCTCCTCCTTCTCCTCCTTCTTCTCCTCCTCCTCCTCCTCTGCATCCGCATCCACCTCCTTCTCCCTCTCCCTCTTCCTTTCCCTGTCCCTCTCCCTCTCCCACTCCCTCTCTCTCCCTCTGTCCCTCTCCCTCTCCCTCTCACTCTCCCTCTCCCTCTCTCTCTCCCTCTCCCTCTCCCTCTCTCTCTCCCTCTTCCTCACCCTCTCAGTCTCCCTCTCCTCCACCCTCTCCTCCTCCCTCTCCCTCTCCCTCTCCTCCTCCTCCCTCTCCTCCTCTCTCTCATCCTCCCTCTCCTCCTCCCCCTCTCCTCCTCCCTCTCCTCCTCCTTCTCCTCCTCCTCCTCCACCTCCCCTCCTCCCTCTTCTCTTCCCTCTCCTCCACCTCCTCCTCCTCCTCCTCTCCTCCTCCTCCTCCTCCTCCTCCACTCCTCCTCCTCCTCCTTGATCCTCTTCCCTCTCCTCCTCCTCCTCCTCCTCCACTCCTTCCTCCTCCTCTTCTTCTTCCTCCTCCTCCTCCAGCATCCTTGTCCTCCTCCCCCTCCTCCTCTTCCTCCTCCTCCTCCTCTTCCTCCTCCCTCCTCTCCTCCTCCTCCCTCTCCTCCTCCCCCTCTTGCTCCCCCTCCTCCTAATCCTAACTAATCCTCCTCCTCCTCCTCCACCTCCCCCTCCCTCTCCTCCTAGTAGATTCGAGAAGCCTCCAAGAGGGCGCCCCCTGGGCCTTACACAGGGCCCCAAGAAGCCCAATCAAAAGACGCGGAGGAAGACAAATACGAATCGGCCAGGCAGGACGTCCGGAGGAACCACACAACATTTCATACGAAATTGGACGCTCGGCGCTCGCAGCACCGCCGTTGGCCTTGTCGTGGCCTGCTCTAGGTTCCTTGTGCCGGCCCTGCTTCTTTGGAGGCAGACCAAGCCACTGTCCATTGAGGACTGGCCTCCTCCACTTCTACCTCCTCCTCTTCCTGCTCCTTCCTCGTCCATCATCATCACTATCACCACCACCACCATCACCATCATCATCATCATCATCATCATCATCATCATCATCGCTCATCAGCATCATTATCAGCAGCAACATCATCATCATCATCAGGATCATCATCATCATCATCATCATCATCATCAGCATCGTCATCATCATCATCATCATCACCATCATCATCACCATCATGATCATCATCATTATCATCCTCATAATCGTCGTCATCATCAACACCAGCATCAACATCAACATAACCTTCAAATTCAACATCAGCAATAACATCCACATCAACATCAACATCATCAATATACGCCTGTTGCAACTGCTCCACCTGCCTCATTCCCAACCCTCACGCTGTCCCTCGAAACTGCACCCGCAGGCCTGTCCCTGGGCGCGGTCTTGCCAGGATCCAGCCGCGATGAGCGAGGAGGCCCTCAGACACCCGAAAATGGAGGAAAAGACCTCCAAAGACCTAGGTCGTCGATCCTCGAGCTTCGATTCTCCTCCGCATGCCTCTTTTTCTTATTCTTCTTCGAGCTCGTGTTCAAACCGGTGCTGGCGCAAATCGTGATGCCACCGCCCGCGTTCCCCTCGTAAGGCCAACCGTCACCGTCAGATGATGGAAAAAGCTGTCTCCTCCTCCTCCTCTTCCTCCTCCTCCTCCTCCCCATCCAAGGCGGCACCACAATATACCCAGGTCCACCACCAAACGAGGTCATGGATAAGACCACACCGCGCGCGGAGGAATATCGACCTGAAACCGGCGGCACATACCCGATAGGCCCCCGACAGTGAAACCGCACGGTCATGGGCGGAGTGGGCTATCAGGCCACAATCGGCGGTGAATGGACGAAGTGGGGTCGATGCAACCCCTTCCTGCCTCTGCCTCCTGCCTTTTTGTCTGCAGGCCTCCCCCCGCATCGCCACCGCCACGCACTCCACGAGGGTCGCGCACAAGGCCGCCTGCCCTCTCAGAAGGCCTCCCGTCGTGCGTCTAAGCATCCACCCTCTGCGTTGCAAGCCACCCTGCGATCGAAGAAGCCGCCTCCTCTCAAAAGGCCCTTGCACTCTGACAAGCCAGGATGCCGCCTCAGGGCAGCAAGCAAACTCGGCCAAGAAAGCCTCGGCTGGGCGGGACCCGGCCGGCGGAACTCGGCGCGTGCCGCACTCGGCCGAGCGGTCTTCGACACGGGCCGGGCTCCACCTGGCCGAGCTCAGCTGGCCGAGCGCCGCCCGCCCAGCCGAACTGTTCGTGGCCGAACCTTTCGAATGTCTCAACAGGCGTCCCCCCTCGCGCCACCCCCCCACCCCCGCACGGCGCCGCCGCCCCCCGCACGCGGCGGTCGAGGTCCTTCCGCTCGGGCAGCTGCTCGTGCGAGCGGAAGATCTCGGCGGAGCGCGTCCAGCCCTCGGTGTCGACCAGGAAAATGTTCGGGCCGCTGTGGTCCTGGCGGGCTCTCCTCGGGCTCCTCCTCGAAGATCGAAGTTCCACGCAGTTGGGGCGAACGGTTTGGTGGTCAGTACGATACTGGTTACTGCTGTCTGCTCCCGCGGGTAGAATCGACCCAAACAGTGCGAACCACAATTTCGTAATCTACATGGTGGTTGGCCCGCTAGGCGGTTCACGCAGGACCCCAGTTTCGGTGACCACCATCTGGGTTCCAAAATAGTGGCTAGATAGAGGCTCTGACGTCTTAGTTCGATGGCTTCGAGCGGCTAATTACGCACACTGGCTCACACAACAACGCCCAAACCACTGTTTCGGAACTCGGAACGCTTTGGGCCGGAAGCAGTTCGGACCCCACGGGGGCAGACGTTCGGACTTTTCCCTGCGGCCCGAGGGCCGAAGTCCGAGGACACCGTGGCCATGACGACGCCGCCGCCGCCACAAGGTCAACCGCGCTTCGGGGCGTCTCTGGGGGCTTTCGTTGCCGAGGCTGCACGCGGCAACACGGGCCCCAAGAAGTGAGTTGGACCAACGAACTTGGTACGGAAATATTGAGTGCAATGTCCAAAGGCAAACGCTGTCCCACACCCACAGCGGCCGCTGTTCGACAGGCGGCCTTCCATCTCAAGTGGACACGTCCACGGCGGCGCGGTCAGCGAGCCCTGTTCACAATGAAGAGGAACTTCCGTTGGGCATCGTACCCGCTCTTTCCGTACCCACGTCGTTTGTGCCATATCCCGGGTGTGCGTGTGAACGGGGGTAGGGAGCCGAAAGGCCGAACCATCCGTCCGGAGGAGATGCGTACGGAAAGAAAGAATGACAGCGATGAAGGGTTCTGTCCCTCGGCCCTCGGCGCTGCACAGTCCTGAATACTTGTCATACATCCAGGATGTCCAGTGCCTGAGACGACATGGGGCAGCGGTAGAGAAGAGACAAAGTGTGGGAAAGAGAAGGGGCACACACACAGGGGCTTCATGGGGCTGCTCTTGAAAGGCGACGACCTGGAAGCGGCGTCGGCCCGGAAGGCGCCGGGGCCGCCGTGGCCCTGGCGGGCCCTCGGACGAGACGGTGGCGGGCAGGGGGGCGCCAGGCGGGGAGGAGGAGCGCCGGGGAGTCTCCGAGAACCCGCGGGTCTGAAGGACGCGTCGGGCGCGGTAGCCAGTGCGGAACGGTCCAGGGAGGCCGTAGGTGGAGTGGGGAGGAGTGAGGAGGACGAGGAGGCGGAGCGAGGAGGAGCGAGGAGGAGTGAGAAAGAGTGAGGGGGTGTGGGGACGGAGCGAGGGCGGAGGAGGGGGGGGGGAGGAGGGGGACGGAGAAGAACAGGCCTGGGCGGCCTGGCCTCGAAGAGGGGCAGGGTGAGTTCTTCCTCCTGGGCTCGCCTGGCCTCGAGCATGCCCAGAGGGTCCACGGTTGACGACAACTGTTGGGGCCTCTGGATGTCTCGAGAAACCTCTTGGTGGGGGAGGGGGGGGGGCCAGCATCCACCCCATGCGGGAAAAGAAAGAGGACGAGGACAACGACGAGGGGGGATGAGGAGAAGGAGTGAGGAGGGGCGTGGAGGGAAATGTAGGAAAACAGCAGGAGGATGTCCTCTCCTCTCCTCTCCTCTCCTCCTCCTCCTCCTCCAAAAGATCCTCGGCATCCTGCTCTAAATTCTCTTCCACGCCTTATCCGCCTCCTCTCCCCATCCTCCGCGATTCACCTTTTTCTGTACTCTTGTTTTCGTCTTCCACCCATACGCCATTACCCTCTTCAACGACTGTACCGCTGCGCCGACACTGGATACGGCAATACGTGAAGCAACACTGCCTCCCTGAATCTTCTCCCTCCTCTCTCTTCCTCGCGTCCTTCCCGAATCGGGGGCAAGGGGAGGGAGGTGCGCTGGCGGCGGATGCATTTGGGCCCAGGTGGGAGGCTCACGTGTCCAACAACAACGCTGCTGCCACAAGCGCTAGCCGACGCGTCTCGGACAGCCGCTGGGAGCGGCAGCTGGCAAACGCACGACGAAGAGAGGGGATGTGAGGGGAGTAATTACGGGAGGAGGGGCGTGGGAGAGGAAGGGAAAAGACGAGCAGCGAAGTGGAAGGGGGTTGGGGAGCAAAGAAGCGGGAGGGGATGAAAAGGAAGGATGCGAACGAGGTTCCTCCTCCTCCTCCTCCTCCTCCTCCTCCTGATCCCCATCCTCCTCTTTGTTTTCAATACATTCCCCTGTCACACCACCAAGCGTTTGCTAAGGGTTTCTCCTAGGACGTCGTCTCAACTTGCCGCATCGGCGTTGGAATTCCCACCAAATACATGGATGGAATACAAGTTGCTTTCAAACTGCGTCTGTAGCCCTTGTTTCCGCAAATCCTTGTTTTTCCCCACATCCTAAGTGGGGTTCTTGTTTTCTCTGCACACCCTCCGCGCAGGATCTCTCCTCCTCCTCCTCCCTCTCCTCTCCTCCTCCTTGCTTCCTCCTCCTCATCATGATCATCTCTTCCTCACCCCCCCTCCCTCTCAATCTCCCTCTCATCATCATCATTATCATCATCACCACCATCATCATCATCGCACTCATCATCACTCAACGTCATCATCATCATCACTAACCCACCCACCCACCCACCAACCCACCTACTCACTCACTGACTCACTCACTCCCTCACTCATCACCGTCACTCGCTTATGTCACCCGAGGAAGCCTCAGGCGGGAGCCCCTTTCCTCTGGGTCCCGCACTTCATGTTGGTAATCCGATCGGGTCATCGGCAACCTGTAACTGTAATCACTTTTCGGCTCCTCGGGCCTGAAATTGGAGGAAGTATCAAGCGGGAGCCTCGTCTGTGAGTGAATTGTGGGGAAGTCTCAGGCGGGAGCCCCCTCCCTATGGGTCCGGCACTTCATGTTGGTAATCCGAGCGGGGCATCGGCAACCTGCCATTGTCGTCACTTTTGGGCTCCCCAGGCTTGAATTTGGAGGATGTAGCGAGCGGGAGCCTCGTCTGTGAGTGAATTGTGCGGATATCTTAGGTGGGAGCCCCCTCCCTATGGGTCCGGCACTTCATGATGGTAATCCGAGCGGGTCATCGGCAACCTGTGACTGTCGCCACTTTTGGGCTCCCCAGGCCTGAATTTGGAGGAAGTATCAAGCGGGAGCCTCGTCTGTGAGTGAATTGTGAAGAAGTCTCAGGCGGGAGGCCCCTCCCTATGGGTCCTGCACTTCATGTTGGTAATCCGAGCGGGTCATCGGCAACCTGTAACCGTCGTCACTTTTGGGCTCCCCAGGCTTGAATTTGGAGAAGGGATCAAGCGGAAACCTCGTCTGTGAGTGACTTGTGAGGACGTCTCAGGCGGGAGCCCCCTCCCTATGGGTCCCGCACTTCATGTTGGTAATCCGAGCGGGTAATCCGCCGAGGAAAATCGATTTGCTTGCCCCGACCAGTGGGAAGGGGAGGAGCGCGCGGAGAAGAAGCAGGGGAAGGACGAGGACGGGGAAGGGGCAGGGAAGGGGTGATGATGAGGAGGAAGTGGAGAAGGAGGAGGAGGAGAAATAGAAGGAGGGGGAGTAGGTGAAGGCAGAACGGCGGGAGGGAGGAAACTGTCCGTCAGGGCGAAGAAGGACCCCACATGAGAATATGTTTACATTGCCCTTACCCTTTTCCTCCTCGCCCTGACGGACAGTCTCCTCTCGCCCGCCGTTCTGCCCTCACCTACTCCCCCTCCTTCTATTTCTCCTCCTCCTCCTCCTTCTCCACTTCCTCCTCATCATCACCCCTTCCCTGCCACTTCCCCGTTCTCGTCCTTCCCCTGCCTCTTCTCCGCGCGCTCCTCCACTTCCACCTGGTCGGGGCAAGCAAATCGATTTTCCTCGGCGGATTACCCGCTCGGATTACCAACATGAAGTGCGGGACCCATAGGGAGGGGGCTCCCGCCTGAGACGTCCTCACAAGTCACTCACAGACGAGGCTCCCGCTAGATCCTTCCTCCAAATTCAAGCCTGGGGAGCCCAAAAGTGACGACAATGGCAGGTTGCCGATGACCCGCTCGGATTACCAACATGAAGTGCAGGACCCATAGGGAGGGGGCTCCCGCCTGAGACTTCCCCACAATTCACTCACAGACGAGGCTCCCGCTTGATACTTCCTCCAATTTCAGGCCCGAGGAGCCGAAAAGTGATTACAGTTACAGGTTGCCGATGACCCACTCGGATTACCATCATGAAGTGCCGGACCCATAGGGAGGGGGCTCCCGCCTGAGGCTTCCTCGGGTGACATAAGCGAGTGACGGTGATGAGTGAGGGAGTGAGTGAGTCAGTGAGTGAGTAGGTGGGTTGGTGGGTGGGTGGGTGGGTTAGTGATGATGATGATGATGATGACGTTGAGTGATGATGAGTGCGATGATGATGATGGTGGTGATGATGATAATGATGATGATGATGAGAGGGAGATTGAGAGGGAGGGGGGGTGAGGAAGAGATGATCATGAGGAGGAGGAGGAAGCAAGGAGGAGGAGAGGAGAGGGAGGAGGAGGAGGAGAGATCCTGCGCGGAGGGTGTGCAGAGAAAACAAGAACCCCACTTAGGATGTGGGGAAAAACAAGGATTTGCGGAAACAAGGGCTACAGACGCAGTTTGAAAGCAACCTGTATTCCATCCATGTATTTGGTGGGAATTCCAACGCCGATGCGGCAAGTTGAGACGACGTCCTAGGAGAAACCCTTAGCAAACGCTTGGTGGTGTGACAGGGGAATGTATTGAAAACAAAGAGGAAGATGGGGATGGCAGGTTGCCGATGACCCGCTCGGATTACCATAATGAAGTGCCGGACCCATAGGGAGGGGCCTCCCGCCTGAGACTTCCACACTTCACTCCCAAACGAGGCTCCCGCTTGATACTTCCTCCAAAGTCAGGGCTGAGGAGTCCAAAAGTGGCGACAGTCACAGCTTGCCGATGACCCGCTCGGATTACCAAGATGAAGTGCGGGCCCATAGGGAGGGGGCTCCCACCTGAGGCTTCCTCACAATTCACTCACAGACGAGGCTCCCGCTCGCTACATCCTCCAAATTCAGGCCTGAGGTTCCCAAAAGTGGCGACAGTTACAGGTTGCCGATGACCCGCTCGAATTACCAACATGAAGTGCGGGGCACATAGGGAGGGGGCTCCCACCTGAGACTTCCTCGGGTGACATACGCAAGTGACGGTGACGAGTGAGTGAGTGAGTGAGTGAGTGGGTGGGTGGGTGGGTGGGTGGGTGGGTGAATGATGACGATGATGATGATGTGGTGATGAGTGCGATGATGATGATGATGATGATGATGATGATGATGAAGATGATGATGATGATAATGATGATGCTGATGCTGATGCTGATGCTGATGCTGATGCTGATGCTGATGCTGATGATGATGATGATGATGATGATGATGATGACGATGATGATGATGATGATGATGATGATGATGATGATGATGATGATGATGATGATGATGATGATGATGATGTGAAGGAGAGTGAGAGAGGGGGGTAAGGAGGAGATGATGAGGAGGAGGAAGCAAGCAGGCGGAGAGGGGAGGGAGGAGGAGGAGGAGGAGGAGGAGGAGGAGGAGGAGGAGGAGGAGGAGAGATCCTGCGCGGAAAGTGTGCAGAGAAAACAAGAAATCCACTTAGGATGTGGGGAAATACACCAGACTCACGGATTGACGGCGACACGTTTGCGGAATTGAAATCCCGCTTTAGGATCCGCTGATTCCACGACCCGCAGTTCAGCATGGTACAAAACCTACACGGATGGCAAAGGCTGCTCGTTTTAACGGTCCGGAAATTGGAACAGTCCGAAAACAACTTCACGGATGGAAGGCAAACCGGTCTCCACTGGAGGCTGTCGGTGAACACTCAATTTGCTTGTATGAGTCCTCTTGCTCTGAGCTTTCATGTCTTTTGAATCGCACAACGGAGTCCCACCTCCGGCCAGACGGGCGTTCGTCTGCCAAAAGGAGCGCTTCCCGCAATGCCAAGGAACACATACGTGTAGGGACTCATGAGGACGGGAGGATGGATCGCAAATCGCTGAGACATCCTAGGGGTCACTCTGGCCCTCTTCGCCCTTCTGATCCTGGTCCTGTTGTGCTCACTTGTCCTCGTCCTCCTCCTCGTCCGCCCCCTCGTCGTCCTCCTCCTCGTCCACCTCCTACACCTCCTCCTCGAGCTCGCCCTCGTCCTCCTCCTCGTCCGTCGTTCGGCCTCCTCGTCCTCCTCCTCCCCCTCCTCCTCGCCCTCCTCCTCATCCTGCTGGACCGGAGCGTCTCCTCGATGTGCCAGCCGTGCAACGTGTTCAAGTCGACGTCCTCCCCGGGCGAAGAGGGAGCAGGGGCCAGCCAGCCTGCACAGGGGGCGGGTGGGCCTTAGGTGGAACCCCTATGGGGCCACGAACTGTGTGAAGGGTGTGCCAAAATGGGGCGAGGCCGCCATGCAAGTTCCGCCACTGGGACCTTAGGTGTAGCTCCCTATGGGGCCGCCATGCGAGATCCGCCACTGAGACCTTAGGTGGAGCTCCCTACGGTGCCACGAAACGTGTGAGGGGTGTGCCAAAATGGGGCGGGGCCGCCATGCGAGTTCCGCCACTGGGACTTTAGGTAGAGCCCCCTACGGGGCCACGAAACGTGAGAGGGGTGCGCTGAAATGGGGCGGGGCCGCCATGCGAGTTCCGCCACTGGGACCTTAGGTGGAGCTCCCTACGGTGCCACGAAACGTGTAAGGGGTGTGCCAAAATGGGGCGGAGCCGCCATGCGAGTTCCGCTACTGGGACCATAGCTGGAGCTGCCTATGGCAGCCACGAAACGCTGTCACTGGGTGGATGAAGCGCAAGGAAGGAAGGAGGAGGGGGAGGGGAGGCAGCGGGAGGAGAAGGAAGGAGGACGCGGGCGCTGCCTCTTCAAAACGAGGACCAACACCACAGGATGGTTGGGAACAATACAACATGCACCTCGCGGCAGAATCTGGATCGTGCGCGGCCATCCCGCGATTACTGCCAGATGGTGACGGTGACGGTGGCGCATGGCCTGCTGTGCGCAGGCCCATCAGACACAATGATGAGCATTGGTTTTCGACAAGAATGGCGGAGGCCGACATGTTTCCCGATGTGTGCTGTCACGTGCGCAGGCGCACCTGACGCAGTCTGCACGTGCCCCGAACATGGCGCACCTGGCTGGAGTGTGCGGCACACCTGGCGCACTCGGAGCACGTGGCGCATCTGGCGCAACAAGCGTGCCTGCACGCTCGGGCCGCAGGGGTGCCTGGCGCGCGCGGCGCCCCTGGCACGCGTGGCGCACCTCGCCCAAGCGT